CATGGAAGCTTCACACAGACCTCATCACAGGCCCAGACCTTCACACAGTGCATTGTTCTCACTCCCATCCCACCTGGTAGAGGGGTGTCTCCTGGCTCCCAAACCAATCCCCAAAGAGGGTGTCTCAGCTCCTCCAGAGGGGGAAGGGATTTCACCCTTCCTGAGACCACAGAGGACAAAAAGTACATCTCTAAAAAACACAAAATGGGAGACTGGATGGCAGAGTCAGGGCCCAAAATGGCTGGAGTCATGATGTTCCAGCCCCTCTCCCTGCTATAAATGCATCCAGAAACTCACTCATCATGAATTGTGCCTTTGTCACTTTGCTCTTCTATTGTGAGCTCAGTGAGGGGACAAAGGTGAGTATCTCCCCACTCAGCACCCATGTCCTCTGCTGCAGGCTCCTTGGTAAACATCACCTCTGCTGTGGACTCATATTCCACAGACCTCACTCAGTCCCCCCACGGGGGCCCCACCATCTTAACTGAACACTTTCTCCTTAGGATCAGTGTCCAGTTTATACCCTTGAGATCTTAATTTATGGAGGAGACTAAGTGACAACATGGACAGGTCAATGTCATTTAAAGATTTTTATTACTTACATTTCCCAAGAAAAGGGGGCATGCCATGCCAGGCAGGGTCACAAGGGCTGCATCAGGTTTGCTCAGGAGGCAGAATCAGGAGGGGGACAAAAACCTAGGCAACAGCCTTTATTTGCGGTCCCATAGGAAATGTAAGTCAATGCAGAGTAAGCACTATAAGGGGCACCACATGCCCCTTCCTCACTTTGCTTTGAACAATTCCAACAAGGTTGGGGCACAGGGATGGTCCTTAGTCATCTGGTAGCTGGTCCTGGGTTGGTTTAGGGCAGGGAAAATATCATCTTCCTGTGTGAGAGGTGGATAAGGAGGTCTGTAGGGACAGGGCACTGGACCGGGTGGTGTGCACATGAAAGGCCTGCTCCAGACAAGCTGTCCACTGCCAACATGGAGTTAGGTCCCCCTGGGAGGGGCAGTGTCTCCCTATGTCTGAGAGGCCCCCAAGATGTCAAAACATCTGAAGAGACAGAAAATAAAACACATGATTAACTCAATGAGAAAGAAGACAAGGATTTATCTGCTCACATCAGATCAATTCAACGTGGTGAGGGAGGTGCTACCAGGGCAATTAGGCACCAAATGAAATAAAAGCATTCCAGATTTTAAGGACATATACACATAGCCCCCCAGACAGACATACAAAATCACACAGGCTTTCTCACTGGACATACATGTGCACACACCCACACACAGACACCCAAAGTCACAAACCCTCAGAGACAATGGCCCAGAGACACACAGCCCAGGCCCTGAAGAGGGGAGAGTCAGGGCCCACAATGGGTGCAGTGACCATCGTGTTCCAGCCCCTCACACTGCTATGATCACTTCCAGAAGCACGCCCCTCACCACATGCCCCTTCCTCACTTTGCTTTCCATTGCAAGCTCAGTGCAGACAACAAAGGACTATGCTTCCTCACCCAGCTGCCCTGTCCTCCCCTGTGGTCTCTATGACCTGGGATCCATCCCCGACTGAGGTCTCCCTTCATGAGGGTCAGTTCCATGGGACATCCTCAAAGAGGCCTTGATCACTGCCCCACCCTGGAACATTCACTGATGGGGGAGGAGACCTTGGGACCTCAGACCCCAGGTCTCCCACAGAGACATCACCTTGGGGACCAAGGAAAGCACTGGAAGTTGTTGCAAGAGCACGTACAGATATGGCTTGACCCATTTCTGCCTTTTCCCTTCAAGAAACAGTGGGCGTGGCCTCTGACAAAGGAGAGGGGTTACAAACTCCTGCACCTGTGCACTTCAGGAAAGGTGGAAATCCCTACCATTTCCCACCACTTCTTTTGGTGTGGTGCCCACTGCATTCTGGGAGCCATGTGAAGAGAGGCGGCCCTGTGACTGTGGAGGGTCTGGCTGAGATCGCCATTTCCCACAGGCTTTGGAGTGGAAATATGAAGGGTGAGTCCTGTTCCAGAAAAAGCAAGCACCAGCCTTGGTGGGTGGGCTCCAAACTCACTCAGGAGGCAGATTCTGAGGTGAGGGAGCTGGGCATGGTCAGCGCATGAGCCACTGAAACCACAGGGTGGAAAGTGCCAGAGATCTCAGGGAGAGTGATATAGGTACAGCTGGGCCCCTGAGGGACACCCAGAGCTGGGACAAAGCAGGGCATCTCTTTTTGACATTATCGGTGGTGTTGAGACTTTTGTGAAACTGTAGTTGCTGCAGAGGTGATGTTTATGTGACAGTGGGGAGTATTATTTTCCAGGGGCCTGGCCTTCATGACTTGGGTTCTGGGTTCTGCCATTGCTTCACCTCACAGTCACCTGGGGTTGCAAATGTGAAAACAAATATAGGAAATCTTGTTTAAAATGGAGTCAGGAAGCCCTGAAGGGGGAGCTCTCAGGCACTACTACTTGTAGTATCTTGCAGACCCCAAACAGGAAGAAGTGCACCTCCCATTCCCCAACAGGAGGAATCTTACTTTACAGACCCCAGGAAGAGGAAGGAAGAATTTCTCCTTGTTCAGCAACACCCCAGCCAATGAGAAAACACCACACAGCCACTGTCACCACCCCGAACTCTCCTTCTCCTTCAATGGACTTCTGTTCCAAACAGTCCCTCCCAGCTGCCTCCTCTCCTCTATAAAAGGCAGCCCATCTGTTCTGTTCTCCCTACCTGCTGATGGTTCACCATAGTTTGCATGTCCTGAATGTACTTCCTTGGCTATTCATGAATAAACTCACTTTACAGGTAAAATAATTGGCTCACTTAATTTTAAGGTTGACAGAACAGAGAAAATTTCCAGAGTGAGACAAGTGTTGCATTTAAACATATTTTCCAACAAGGAGGCACCGAGTAGTCTTGAGATGGGAAACTTAAGAGCTGGAAATTGCCTCAAGAACTGGGAGATATGATGTTGATGCCCAAGGGTTAGATTAGAATGTACCCAGGCAGATCCCAAGTGTGGAGATGTGTTAGATGCACCTTTATGTTTCAGACCACTGCATTCCCTGGATATGACCCGGGAAACCTGGTGTCGACTCAAAGAGGGATGCTGGGAGCCCTATCACTTTCTCACCAGTTATGTGAATGACATGAGGGCAGGCGCAGCCCTAGAGAGAGTTTTGTAACTTCAGATGGGGTACCAGGAAAAGTCTACAGTGGCCTATATCCTTCTTCCCTAGTCCTTCCACTTCTTCCTAAGAAAGAACCCAAGGTGGTGGAAGGAAGTGTTGCACACGTAGCAATCAAAAGGTCAGGAGAGTTTAACTTTCTCCTAGATGTGAAGACATTTTTGTTGTTTTCTATTAATTGTTTTTAGTATATACACATACTATTTTAAGAGCAGTTGTGAGTTTTCACAAATGTATAGTTCTACCACCATCAGGATGGAGAACACTCCATCATCCCAAAGGAACACTCTTGTGGTACCCATTTGTACTGAGCCCTACCACCATTAATGACTGATCTGTTTTAGGTTCCTATAGCTTTGCCTTTTCCAGAATGTCATATAAGCAAAAAATTGTGTTGCCTTATGAGTCCTGTTTGGAAACTTTGATGCTACATTGGTAAAAGTGCATAATTATACAAACCTTGCAGTGTTCTTGTGAGTTTAAAATTTTTTACATTGCCCAGGAGAGAGGCACACATTATGCCATCCAAACTAAGAGATTCCTCTGTTATGAGCTCTGTGAATTTGAGTAACTTTATTTGCATCATGGGAGAAAGTATAGGGGTAGGGGATCAAATAAGATACTAATAATTATAAAATCACATAATTTCTACATTCTCGGGAAAAGATAAATTAGCACTGAATAAAAAAGGAACAAGTTTAGATTTCCATTATTGTTTCGTGAAACAAAAGCTGTCACATTTTACCCCGTCTTCCATAACATCTCCTGGAAATGTAAACATCTAGAAATGATCCTTGGAAACAGCAAAATGGGCTTTGGGGGCTTTGTGCATCATTGAAACAAAAACCTCCCAGCTACTCCTCTTATGAAAAGGCATAGAAAATTTCCCAGTTTGAGGATGTCAAATTTACCTCCTATGCCATCACATAGGATATTACTCAAAATGACACTGTGTGTCTGTCTGCAGCTCACCTCAGTTATTTCTTTGATCCTTACCCTCTAAACATTCACAGCTCTTTTCAGTGTTTTAACCAGGAAACACACTGGACTTGCACAGGTATCATTCTACTTGTTGGAAAACCCATGATGGGCGACAACTGTGCAGATGATGAAAACTCTTCCTCAAACTGGGAGAAACTCAAGGTTTCATGGAGTAGAAATTATGTCACTCAGTCTGAACAGCAGCAAAATGATATGCTGAGTCAAAAGGCAATTTCAAGTCCTTTCCCCTGATGTTAAACAGAAACATAAATACCCATGGCCTAAAACAAATACCCATGGCCTAAAACAATGGAAGTCTCGAGTTCCAGACACTCATGTATCTGGATGATGATCAAACAACACATGCAGTAAAATGTTTAACCATGGCTAAAATGAAGATGAACTCTGTCTATGCCTTTATCTTTATGAGAACCACTGCTGTTACTCCCAGGAATGCAGGACTTTCAGTGTTGCTGTCCATTGTTTACACCCACACCTGAACAGTTCCTCCAACAGTGCTTAAGATGTATTAGATGGTGGGGAAACAATGATCAATGATGACATCCTCACTCAGTGAGACCTCTACCTTAGTAGAGAAGATATACACCTATCAAATGATGAATGGATACAGAAGTTGTGGCATATATATATATAGATGACAGAGTATTATTCAGCCATGAAAAACAAGGAAATCCTAAAATTTGCAGAAACATAGATGAAACTTGAAGGCATATGCTAAGTGAAATAATTCAGACAAAGACAAATATTTTATGATCCCACCTATATGTGGAATCTAAAAGGACAACACAAAAACTCATGGAAAAGAGGTCAGGGCCGGCCCGGTGGCGCAGCAGTTAAGTGCGCGTGCTCTGCTGTGGCAGCCCGGGGTTCACAGGTTCGGATCCCAGGCGCACACAGATGCACCGCTTGTCAAGCCATGCTGTAGCGGTGTCCCATATAAAGTGGAGGAAGATGGGCACAGATGTTAGCTCAGGGCCAGTCTTCCTCAGCAAAAAGAGGAGGATTGGCATCAGATGTTAGCTCAGGGCTGATCTTCCTCACAAAAAAGAAAAAGAGGTCAGACTTTTGGTTACCAGAGGCGGGGGGGGGGGGCAATTGGAGGAAGGTGGTCAGAAGGTACAAACTTCCAGTTATAACATAAATAAGCACTAAGATGTAATGTACAACATGACAACTAGAGCTAACACTGCTGTATGACACTTAGGAAAGCTGTTAAGAGGATAAATCCTAAGAGTACTCATCACAAAAAGCTTATTCTTTTCTTCTTTCTTTTCTTTTTATTCTATCTATACGAGACGATGACTTACTGAGTAGCTGACCTACTGTGGTAATCATTTCACAATATGTGTAAATCAAACCATTGTGTTGTACACCTTAAATTTATAGAATCATGTATGTCAATTTTTTCTCAATGAAATGGGGGAAAAAAAGGAGTCCGAGACTTCTGGTCTCTGGTCTGTCATGTAAGGAGCTTAAAGCCAGATTCCAGTCCTCAGAAGAAAAAAGCCAAGAAAATTGAAATCAACAACTCTTCCATCAGGGAATTGAGGCCACAGGGCAAACTACTGTCTCCACAATTATTGAGAGAGAGAAACAAAAAAGGAGCCATTTAAAACATTGCCAAAATACTCTATTCTTAACAAAGCATGCCCTGCAAACAATCTATTTAACAGAAACATTAGTGACTGGGATTTTCCAAGAGGCAAACTGACCTGGGGGAAGGAAACAGCCAACTTGAGTCTCTTCTAGCCTTTTTCTGATCTCAAAGGTGGGGCAATTGTGAAGATGATGGGTTTTTTTCCCGCGTGGCCTCAAATCTTTGGTGTCTGTTCCAATGCCACTTCTCCAACTCTACATCACCAAAGAGCTGTCCAAGAGTTTGATTCAATTCTAATACTAACTACCCAGGGCTTACGTCAGACTCCACAGGTTAAGAGCTCAGTCCCACAAACTGCCCCTTCTTTAGATGCCAACCACAAATGGGGTGCCCAGGCCACCAACATTTCTACTCAGCCATCTACAAATTCCTAGATTCTCTCCACACCTCATTACATTTGGTAATTTACTGAAATGATTGTGAGAACTCTGCAAACTGCTTTAATTGCTGTTATTGGTTTATATAAAGGATACAAATCAGGAACAGACAAAAGGGAGAGATGCATAGGGCAATGTAGGGTGGTGGTATGGGTGAGGGGAGTGGAGGTGGAGGGGGCTGCAGAGATTCCACATCCTCTCTGGACACTCCACCCTCCCAGCACCTGGATGTGTTCACCAACCTAGAAACTCTCTGAATTCTATCTTTAAGGGTTCTGATGGAGGTTCCATTACACGGACACAATTTATTAAATCATTGTCCATTGGTGATTACCAGCACCCCTCCTCTCCACAGAGGCTGGGAGCTGGGTCTGTAATTTCCAAGTCTCTAATCAAGGCTTGGTGTTTCTAGTGTCCAATCCCCCTCCTGAAGCTATTTAGGAGCTGGTGAAGGGTTGCCTGATTAAAAGAACAAACACCTGGGGCCGGTCCCGTGGCTTAGCAGTTAAGTGCGCGCACTCCGCTACTGGCGGTCCGGGTTCGGATCCCGGGCGTGCACTGGCGCACTGCTTCTCCGGCCATGCTGAGGCCGCGTCCCACATACAGCAACTAGAAGGATGTGCAACTATGACATACAACTATCTACTGGGGCTTTGGGGGAAAAATGAGGAGGATTGGCAATAGATGTTAGCTCAGAGCCAGTCTTCCTCAGCAAAAAGAGGAGGATTAGCATGGATGTTAGCTCAGGGATGATCTTCCTCACAAACAGAAAAAAAAATTGTTAAAAGAACAAACACCTTATCACTCAAGCAATTCCGAGGACTCCAGGTGGATTTTGCTAAGAACTGAGAACAAAGATCAAATATCTTTCTTATTATATCATAGAAAGTCAAGCCCTGGGACACAGGCTCACGAAAAGATTGAGACTCAATCACTGGACTGGAGAATGCTTCCCCTCTGCCCACGCCTACCTCTATGTCAACTGGGCTCTTGTTTAATAGTAGTGGACTACACTGAAAGAACTAGATGCTTTCCAGTAACATCAAGAAGAAAGCAAGGATGTCCTCCCTCACCACTCCTCATCAATCTTGTACTGGAATTCTTAGTTGATGCAATTAGACACAAAAACGAAATAAAAGGTACATAGATTGGTAAGCAGGAAATAAAACTGTCCTTGTGGCACAAGATTGTCTATGGAGAAAATCTCAGTGAAACCCCAATTACAGAGAAACCCCTTGAACTAAGAAGAGTGTAGAGGAAGGCTGAAAGATAAAATGTTAATACACAAAAGTCTGTTGTTTCCTATAGATCCACACAAAGATGAGCTGAACGCAGCTTTGACAAAGGAACAAAGGCAATTCAATGGGAAAATAAATAATGCCAGAAAAACCGGCCACCCACATGTCAAAAAAAAAAAAAGAAAAAGAATCTAGACACAGACTTTACACTTTTCACAAAAATTAATTTAAAATGAATCATAGATCTTACGATAAAATGTAAAACTACAACACTCCTAAAAGATAACATAGGAGAAAATCTTGCTGACCTTCGGTTTGATGATTAATTTTTAGACACAACAAGAAAAGTAAGATCCAGGATAGAAAATAGTTAGTTTGACTTCATTAAAATGAAAATCTTCTGATCAGTGAAACAGTATTAAGAGAATGAAAACACAAGTCATAGATTGGCAGATAATCTTTGGAAATCATTTATCTGATAAAGGACTGGTACCCAAACATCCAAAGAACTCCTAAAACTCAACAAAAAGAAGACAAACAAACCAGTTAAAAATGGGCAAAAGATCTGAACACACATTTCAACAATGACATACAGATGGTAAATAAACATGTGAGAACATGCTCAAAACCATGTGTCCCTAGCAAATTACAAATAAAAGAAGAATAAGATATCTCCAGACACTTATTACAATAGCTAAAATTAAATACACTGAGAACACTGAACTACGATGAAGATGGAGAGCAACAGGACCCCTCATGCACTGCTGGTGGGAATGGAGAATGGTATGCCTACTTTGGAAGAGAGGCAGTTTCTTAACACAAAGACTACTCTTAGCATATGATACAGCAATCACGTTTTTTGAACTTACCTGAATAAGTTGAAAACTGATGTTCACAAAAATCTCTGCACGTGAATGTTTATAGGAACTTTATGAATAACTGTCAAGACCTAGATGTAACCAAGATAATTTCAATAGGTGAATGGATAAACAATCATGGGTACATCCATAGGATGAAATATTCTTCAGTAATGAATAGAAATGAGGTTATCAAGCCAAAACGACATGAAGAAACTTTAAAATCATATTGCTAATGAAAGAAGCCAATATGACAAGGTTACACACTGTATGATTCCAATCATGTGACATTCTGGAAAAGATCAATTATAAGACAGTGAAAGATCATTGGTTGCCAGGATTCGGAAGAGATAGGGAGGGATGAATGACTAGATGGAGCAGGGGAGACTTTTAGGACAGTGCAAGTATTCCATGTGATACAGAAATGACAGAGTCATGTCATTTTCCATTGTCCAAAGCCCAAAGACTGTGTAACACAGAGTCAATACTAATGTACACTATGAACTTTCATGCATCAAATTGGCTCATCAAATGTAACAAATGTATGATAGTAACACAAGGTAAAAATATATTACAAACTGTGGAAGCAGAGGGGTTATGTGGGAAATCTCTGCACTTGCAGATCAAGTTTTCTATAAACCTAAAACTGATCCTAAAAAAAAGTCAAATAGGGAAAAAATGATCAAGACAGACACATTAATATTGACCCCTGTTGAGTGACTTATGCCAGAAACAGACCATCTTTCATTCAATTAATTTGAACTTATTTCAATAAGTGATTATGGTGCTCTATGAGGCCTGTACCCTGACACTCGGAAGAGAGGAGAAATTTCTACTGAATGCCTTGTTAAAAGCCCAGCACTGTAGATTCTGAGAAGTTAAAAGAGTGCCTTCATCACTATCAGTAGTGTCCAGAAGTCCCACGTGGATAGAGTGTCCTACTGAGGCTTGGTGTGTGGCCTTCATATGTGTAGAGACAAGTGTGACTTTGATTTCTATTGTAGGCAACTGTGAGGCAAGAGATTCCTGGAGTTCTTTTACCACAAAGGGGCAACTCGCAGGGAATCACCCACAGTCTGTAAGGTCTGCAGCTGGAGCCCATTATTGGTTGGTGCTAAGATGACTGCTGGATGTACAGTCAGTGTGATGACCTTTGGGCCCAGTCCTTCATCAGAGATGTCCCAATTAAGACAGGAAAAGCAACTCTGCCTGAGCTCCGTCATGTACAGATGAGATGATGTCCCTTAAGTCTGTGCCCCCATTGCTTTTCACTCAGGGAGTCCTAAGGAGCTCCTTAGGGAGCCTGGGGGTCTGAGAGAGGGGTGACTTTTTTCAACACTATGGCACCTGGCAAGGGACTAAGAGGGAAAGCCACACCCTCCTGTAGGTAGGACATCCCAGAGTATCCAAGTTTGCCTCCATCATGTCTCCAGGAGGTCTCAGTAGCCATGCTGAGCTCTTGGGGTGCTGTTTCCAAGTCTCAAGTCAAAATGGGCTGCTGGATAGATGGTCACATGCTCAGGGCCATCTACTTGCAGGTTACCCTCATAAGTAGAGGTGATTGCAGCTCTAATGACATATAGTCTGGTGCCTAGGGCAGGATCTTGCATCAGGAGCCTATGGATAACTTAAGGCCATCATGGGTATCCCAGGAAGTGTGACAGAAGGTCACTGATGCCTCTATAGTGAAAGAGACTCTGAGGGCACTAACAGCAGTGTTTGCTGTATGACAATTTGAAGAGAATCTCCAAACATTTGTGCTGGGGGCTTGTGCCATTCAAAGTGGCAAATTTGCAAGTAACAGCACAAACAGGCTCAAGTAAAATTTGTAAACAAGGAATATATTGCCTCCCAAATTTCAAGAGAACCTAGTAGATTTTGTGGGTGGGTGCTGAGAGGAACAACAGCTATTTCTTCATGGTGTCAGAGAAGGAGAAGGTCTTAATTTATCAAATAATTTTCAGAAATTTAACAAAGTTGTCAAGGCCTCACATTATATGTGTGGCAATGTCCATCCACTTTTTGTGAGCTCCTTTTTTCAATATTTCTAAGTCTTGAATGTTCTCAGAGGAGATGTCATTAATGTAACATCACACCTGTGTTCTTAGAGAGACCAGGATGCAGTTCAGATCCTGCTGCAGTGACTGTGTGGGAGGGCACAGCTGTTGAAGATCCATGAGGAGAACCCAGTAAAGGTGCATCACG